TGATATCCCAGTAACTCCACTAAGATTTCCGGCTACCTCGTTCTGTTCCCAGCCTCCTTTGAGCTTGGGGGGAGATATGTGAGACTCCAGGGGCTCTCCAATAGTCTAACATATATTAACATTCACAGAGAAGAGGGAAACCCTATATGTTAGTTAACCACAACCACCTGTGCATTTTCTTTTCTTTTCTTTTTTTTTAAAGTTACTCGGCTTTCTCAAATTCTGTAGAACAATGGCTGTATACAATGAAGACACATTACGCGCCAGAGAACTCTTTTTCCTTGTGGCGCTTTGAATAATCTGTGATTAAATGTAAACTTAAAGAGGCCCAGACACTCCATAGATGGTGCTCTTTGTGGACGCCTCCATTTGCATGTGTTCTGTGCTCCTTTCTGATGTGACTGATTTGCAGAAAATCCATGTCTTCAGACACCTGTTTGCATGCTTCGAGAATAGCCGTGCTGAGCAGAATGGGAGTTGACTAGTACATGTGCATAAAGACGCCTCTAGATTGCACTGCCATTTCAGCTTCTCAGAATCAGAAGTGCAACTTTCACTGGGCTACTCTAGGAAAAAGTAATTCTCACCCTCTTGATGACAGTAGGACTCAAGCCAGCACAATGCCAAATTGTGCATCCATCCACCCGGATCTCCCCCCCCTTTTCTTTTTAATAAATACCCCATTCTTCTTCCTTGCCAGGATATCCATAATGGCTTATGGTCTGTGAAAATCTTTGGTTACACCCACACGCATCTTTCAAGGGGCAGAGTTTCTGCAAGAGGAGGTGGATATCCACCTCCTCTATTTTATAGACAAAAAGCAGAAGCTGTGATATGACCAAAGGAACCAAGGGTGCTCACCATTTCTATCTAGCTGGCCAGTTAAGATCTACTCCCCAAGCCCTGCTCTCAGTGCCCCTACCTTCAGAGGTGAGGTGGGTGGTGACTAGAAACAGTGCATTTTCGGTAGTGGCATGTCTGCGTCAAATACAGCCATTTGGAGATACTGGCTGTCTTAGAAGAGTGGTTTCAGTTTCTCTTCAGACAGGATGGTGACTGTCCATCTCAAAATACCAAAAGGCCTACTGGAGGCAGGTGGGAGTCTCTTTGTTTGGAGTGGCAACCCACAGGACACTGGGTTTGCTGTGCCTTCTCCTCTTTGTGGCCACCCACAATAATAGCCCTCGCCAGAAAAGCTCGCTACCCAGGAGCAGAGAAGCATTCTAGCAGTGGAAACCCAGCATAGAACTTCTTAGAGAAGATCCATTCCCTTGTTACTTGCATCGATAAGCACTGAAAAGAGGCACAATTTGTTAAAACAAGCTTTTTTTTAATCTATAAGAGAATAAAAGTATTCATTAGGTGCATTCAGATAAATGCCTAGGTAGTGACTTTCTCAATAAAATACAGTTCAGCATAATAACATCTTAATTTACAGAAAACACAGCAGCAAGTAATGAGTGCAATCCAGGAAAAGTTTTTGCACTTTTAAAAGCCTCTTTGATTTCAATTGGAGAGAATGAGAGACTTAAAATTCTGCCCCTTTGAAACACATCTGAGCTAAATGTGTTTAACTTTGTCCCCTTTATTTAAAAAACTGGGTAAAACAGGTATCTCTTGGTTTATAGATTTAGATCCACAATCGTTCTGCCTTGGAGATGCTACTTGGGTAGAAAGGCGGCCTAGAAATGTTTTAAATAAACCAATACCAGGACAACAAGAGAAACATTTATGATTTATCCTAGTTTATGAGCTGGTGGGTGGTGCTTTTGTATTCAGAACCATTTCCTGAGCTCTGTTGGGGAAGTGTAATCATTTCAAATGGCAGCTTGTGCCAGTGGGAATGCTTGGGAACTGGAGGGGTGGCAGCAAAGCCTTTGCCTGTGGCCAGAGGTGCAGATTTTGAATGGCAGTGATTGAAACATCAGTGATTTACATTGTTGTTGTTGTTACTGGTCTATTTTCAGTAGCCCTTTATGTTCGTTCATAAGCAAAAACAGACAGATCTCTGCCTTGACAAGCAGATGGGGAAGACATCAGCGAGATGGGAGAGATAAAGAGACCAAAGGGCTGAACTCCAATTTCTACCTTAGAACCCAGACAACCTACCGATGCTCTTAATATTGCCCATTTTACTGGAATGGCCTTCCTGGATATTCCCAGATATTCACGGGGAGGGAGGAGGCAAGGTATTTCCTGGAGACAGCGTACAGTGCCATCCCAGTCCGAGTTCCAGGAAATATTGTTGCTTCAACATACTACCAAACAAAGCAGTTTTTAAAAATACATCTCATAGTAATTTGGCATGTTTTTGGCACCTAAAACATGCCAATTTGTAATGCAGATATGATAAAAGAATATATCAAATTACAGGCAAATTCTATATAGGTTTTATATGGGCTCTTTTATATGAATTTAACTTTTATGACACCTCCCCACCCCCGAAACCTCGTAATGGTAGTTTGGTGAAGGTTCTAACTTTTTGTTAGAGGTTCCTAATCTCTTCTGCAACAGAACTACAGTTCCCAGAATTCTCTCAGTAAAAGGAACGATCATTTAAGCCACTTCCCCTTAAAAGACCAGGAAAAGGAGAAGGATACAGGGTGGGATTGGGACACAGGAAAAAGTCCCAGAAGAAAGCAAACTGAATATCATGTCCCCTGCTGTGTTGGTAGCACTTCTGGGGCTCACCTAGGTTGCTCCCTGACCAGAGCAGCCTATTTGGATCTTTCCTGGTCAAAGTAGAAGAAACCTCAAAAAGGACCCAAATAAGTGTTTTATTGAATCCCATTGTGTTTTTAATACATAACAAGTGGTTGGCCAGGCCCTGTATTTTCATGTAGGTCATAGTTATCACCCCTTGTGCACGCTTATATCATTTAATTAAAAACTTATTTTGTACAGGATTTTTCAGTTGCAATTAATTTAGCTGTGCATGTTAAGAGTTCAGAGTTTTTTTGATGAATGTTGTATGCATATGTCCCTGCCCTTACTTCGCAGGTTTTAAATGTAATATGTATTATCAATGCTTTTGTTGTTGCCAGGGGTCATTTCATAGAAAAAGAGGTGCGGAAACTCATTAGCATAACTTATTTGCATATGCAAATGAATTATTTGCATATCGGAAGTGTGTCCGAAGGCGACACCCACCACTCAGGCTCCACTGGACTATTTTGGATTGCTAGCTATGGGGTGGGGGACGTGCAGATCTGTCATCGCAGAGGAGGGAGAGCTTGTACCTGAAGGCAGGCCGGGAGGGGGGCCCCTGCAATTTACCTGGCTGCTTCTTGCTCCTCATGGCCCGACTGAGGGCTGCTGGGAGTAGGGGGCAGGGCTTGTTGCATGTGCCTGCCCCCTGGGCTCTTTACTGCTGGAGCTCCACTTCTGTGGCTCCCACAGGAAATGACCCCTGGTTGTTGCTGCTGCTAAAAAAGGTGCCAGTACAGAGTGAGGGTGCCAGATGTGCCTCTTTGTATACACTGTGCGAGCAAAGCAAAGGAGTTCAGTGGTGCAGAGGATTCCACTTGAGCACAGGCAGGTTCAGAGACACTGACTCCTCCTTTTTCTGATCCCATGATTGTTATCTCATATAAGTTCCTGCCATGTGCTTGCTGCTGAAAACGTCCCATGCTGCTGGTCTGGAGAGGATGGAGACCACTGCCCTAGAGAACTACCTTTCCTGGAGCACCACTTTTGCAGCATGTGTGTGTGTGCGTGTGCATGTGTATCTGCTAACTTCATGCATCTGAATAAGTGGGCTCTAGTCCAGGAAAATGTATGCCATGATAAAGCTGTCCATGGCTTTATGTTCTTTGTTCCTGATTTTTAAAAACATTGATGGTTGGCAAAGCTGCATCTGGAAGGCACAAGGATGCTGCGAAAGAGGAAGGTGATCAGCTGGAAAGAGGAAACAGCTCCCATATTCTTAGTGGCTGTGAGAAGAAGGTATTCTCAGCCTTCAGGTAGAGCTGCCCTCACCAAAATTTCTCCTCCTCCACAACCCCTAAAGAAACAACAGCTCTGCCCTTCCTTGCATCATCCTTGTGTGAACTATGGACTGCCATACTCAAACGTTGAGCAAGCAGAGCTAAAGACCCTTGTAGGAGGGTTGCCAGCCTCCAGGTGGTGGCTGGAGATCTAGGATTACAATTGATACCCAAGCGATAGAGATCAGTTCACCTGGAGAAAATGGCTGCTTTGGAAGGTGGACTCTATGGCATTTATACCCCATTAAAATTCTTCCCCTCCTAAAACCCCTTCCTGCAGATGTTGGCCACTGAAGTCAAGATAATGCACAGTGGAGAAATGTACAACTGAAGTCCCTGAGAATCGGTCCAATCCTCTCCTCCAGAATTTGTACCCTCTCGGATTCCACACACCCCCGGTCCCTCCCTGCTGCTTTCTCCCTCACACCAGTTCAAGATCTCAACATCACATAAGGAGATGCTTCAGAAAGATAGTTATTCTTCTAAGGACACATCCAGATTACGTATGTAGATCTGCTTAACTGTCATGCCCCCCAATCAATAATCCTAAGAATTTTAATTTGTTGTGGGTGCTAAAAATCTCCTGTTAGAGGTGGCTAACCGCTTCCCTCCCCACCTGAGCTAGGGCTCTCTAGGGAGAAGAATATTAGACCCATTTAAGTGTCTGGTGCAAGTAAGCCCCTAAGGCAGTGGTTCTCAAACTGTGGGTCATGATCCTCAAGTGGATCAACAACTTTCAAGTCTCCGGAGTCCAGGCTTACCTCCTAGCAGTGAGAAGAGAGGGCAAAGCCACCACATTCTCTCCTCCTGCCATCCGTGGCCCCATCCGTTCCAAAAGGCTGGGTTCACTCCCACCCACTGGTTCTGTAGTGGTGACAGGTGTGGCCTACACTCCCTGCCTCCTTATCCCGCATTACCTGTCACCTGCAGCACTACAGCAGCAGGTCTCAAAAGTAGAGTGATTTTAGAAGTGGATCCCTCTTTGGAAAGCTTGAGAACCGCTGCCCTAAGGGATCACACATCCGTGTGCTGTGAGCTAAAGGATGTGAAGCTGCCTCGTTGACTTCGGCTGAACTGGCAGAAGCTCGCCGCCCGGTTTCTCCGTCCTCTCGTCTCACTTCTGCTCTTGGGCTTCTCCCGCATGATGAAGTTCTCTATCAGTTTGAGTTTCTCGTGCTCTTCCTTCAAGAAGAAATTGACTAGCACGCTCTTCTCCTTCTTGATCTGCTCACTGATATCCTTGGGGATGTCTGGGATCATCCAGTCAACAAGCACACTGAGGAACATTACCAGGTTCTGCCATTTAAAAAAAATATCAGGAGAAAGGGGCATGGATGGTATTCACTGCATCGATAAAAGCCATAAAGCACCAGATGCAGAAATGGACAACCCCATCTCTTCTACTGAGTCAGACCACTGCTCGGTCTGTCTACTGATTGGCAGTGGCTCTTCTGGTCTCAGGTGGAGGTCCTTCATATCACTTACTAATTCTTTTATACTGAAGATGCCAGGGGATTGAACCTGGGACCTCCTGCATGCCTAGCAGATACTCTACCACTGAGCCAGAATCCCACCCCTCTTAAGATAGACAACAGTAGACAATCTAGACGGAAGGAGTTTTCAGCAATGATGAAAATAGCTGCCTCAATGTCAACACACAAGATGCCTTTTATTTTCAGCTGCAGGGAAGCAGAGGGAAAGCCCATATATTTCTGGGACTCCTACTTGGGTCTGCTGCAGAACTTACAGAGACATATAATGTTTTGCTGTGGAGAAGAGGCCAGCTTTAGTCCTTACAGCAACAGTGCTTCCAGGTATATTGCTTTACTTGTTTCCATAGAAGTGAATGGCAGCCATTCAACTTAATGATCATGAGTTGGTTACTTTAAGCGTGCAGGTAGGAGAAAGAAGGAGGTACACACAAATGGTCCTAAGGGAGAAGGCTTACAATTATGTTCTGGATTTCAGCAGATTTAAGGTGATGGCACACAGAGAGTTGGAAGCAGTTAAGCCAGTTCGGATTCGGAGCAGGGGCAGGACAGGACTAATATCAAGTTCACCGTTTATATAAAAGAAAAGCAGACCTAAAAGCTGACCTAATCCAGCGGCTCACACAGAAGATATATGCAAAATGTATATTGTTGTTGTTCTCTGATCCATATTTTCATGTATCTCATAAACCTAGGAAAGCAATGCTGTTCATTTACCATGCAGACTGGTTTCAGAAATGGGGCCCTAATTCAAAATGGCAATTTAAAATGTTCCCCTGTGCACTTCTGAGGCCAACAACCTGGGGAAGAACAATGATAAAGCCTTGAAATGAAAGCTGAACAAACACTGAGGTCTGTTTGAGTATCTCCCTGGTACAGACATGGAGAATGTTGCTGTCATAGTAAAAAAAATTTTCCCTTCAACCAAAAACAGATTATCTCCCTCAAATTCTGGATCAAGTCATTTTCTGGATCGCTTGTAAATAACAATACAAAACTTGGAATTCCTCAGCCATGGCAGGTGTTAACTATCGTAGCAAAACTAGGGAAAGTGTCTTCCATGAAGTGTGCTGGTCTGAAGCAGCAGAACAAATTCAGAGTCCGGTGGCACCTTTAAGACCAACCAAGCTTTATTCGAAGTATTCTTCAGACAAATGAAACAAACAAAATTGTTCCATTTGTCTGAAGAAGTGTGCTTTGCCCACGGAAGCTTACATTCGAATAAAACTTTGTTGGTCTTAAAGGTGCCACTGGACTCTAAATTTGTTCTAGGGAAACTATATTACCAGTCTTCACTATTGTGAATGGTCTCTGTACCTTTTTAATTACGTATTTTACATGCTTTACATAATTATTTTTACATAATGGTATCTCACCTCATATTTCCTTCATTTCATGTCCCTTGGACCCTGCTGATTTTACCTCCCCCCAATTAACCACATATATAAGTGTCTGTCTAAGAAGGAGTGGCCTGTAGCCCATAAAAGCTTATGCTGAAATAAAAACATTGGTCTTTAAGATGCCACAAGAGCCGTTTATCTTTAAATCAAACATTTCTAAACTGTTGGACCTCTTCCCTTGCTGAACCCATAATGACTATAAAACCTTACCATTGGGAGATTATTTCTATACATTAACACTCTTAAAAAACATCCTAATCATGCCTATAAGGTAGCTCACTTTGAAGTTCCTCATGCCTTCTGCTAATAGGCTCTTGAACTGTTCTTTAGAAACTGGAATATGTGTTTCCAGCCTGAATTTCCAGTAAAATATTTCTACCTCAGCCTCATCAAACTTCTGCTAACAATTTATCTGCACTCAGGCCCTCCATTGCACTGTTTGCCACTAGAGGAAAACCTGCTGTGTCCATAATACTTTAATTTAGTAGTGTTAGCAAAACAATTTGGTCTAAACTTTGTGTGCTGTTGTGATTTTGACTGGAAAAGAAAGAATCTTCTCCCATGATTTTCAGCTTTAAACTTTGCAAGTTCTTTATTTGGTGGCTAGGTACACCTTTGCCATTAAAATATTCTCTCAGATATAAACTTTTATTCAGTCTTTGTTTCAACATAGGCTCTGTGACATGATCAGTTCTTGAGATACTGGCTTCAAAAGTGGGGGAGGGAAAGATTTTGCTGTCTTTTTGAATCAAAGTCACCAACTTGAAATCAGGCTATATGGTAAACTGGCAACATCAGTTTCACAAGTATATGGGACCCATAAAACATGAATTGGGAAATAAAAGTCTGCTCTAGTATAATTTTTATACACTTTCAATGCCAGTCCTGGCTAAACATTGCCAAGTTTGATTCCAAAAGAGAAAAATCTCTCCAGGATTCTTGAAATTTAAACCTACAGTAAGTGAAGCTCACATGGAATATACACCACAGACTGGAAAAGGTACCATCAAAGCTAAGATGATGCCAGTGTGGTTTATAAGTAGGGATGGGCACAAACCTAAAAAAATCTGGTTCAGGGCCACCCCTGAACCAAACCCCAAATTGGACCAAGCTCAAAGGCCCTGAACCAACTAGCGAGTTCAGTTCCCCCTTTCTCCTGCTTGGGGGAGGGGATTGCCCGAGAAGTGTTACATGGCTGCCAGCCATTTAACTCATCCATTTCACTTTCCCCTGCTTCAAAGTGTGTGCGTGGGGAAACTGACAGGTTTAATGGCTCACAGCCATTTAAACTTAAGAACTGACAGGCAGACTCACTCTGCTGTTAGGTTTAAATGGCTGGCAGCAATTTCAACCTAACAGTGGGGCAGGTGCACCCATCAGCTGTGAGGCTGAAATGGCTAGGGGCCATTTCACCAGTCCCTTTCACTTCCCCCTGCTGAGAGAGTCCAGTGAACCATTGAGCATTTCTAGAGTTCTCTAATAATTCTGGCTAACAGAAGCTCACTTCTATCATTTTAGTCAATTCACTTTCATATTTCCACACTCAGCAATATAACTTCAACTGCTGGATGGAAAAATGAACAACATAATTTATTTATCTTTTTTTTTTAGATGGGGCCTGCAGCCTACTTTCCTGAGGCAACAGAGGCTAGGGACTCTTTAAAGACCAAAGGTCAAACATGATTGTATACATGCGTTGCAGGCAGCAAGTAATGAATGAATTTATTATATGCAATGGTAAAGCCGAGTAAAACAGAACCTACCTGAAAAATAATGACAAAAGCCAAACGAGCAGATAAAACAGCCCAGTATTGCTTAGAAAATTCATACTGATTTTCAGACCACGGTGGTTCTCTGTAATCTTTGAATCTGTAAAAAAGGAAGCCATTGAGTTACAGACACATTTCACAGCAGCACCTTCCCGGCATTGTGCAGAGCAAATGGAAAGTTACTGTCTTCTAACTGCTAGATTACTTCCCAACAATGTAATTAGCAGAATTTATTTTTTGCATCAGTTTTCTTCTGACACAATAATAATGAACATGCTTTGCTCATCCTGTTGATTTTGGTGGAAGGGACTGAACTGCAGGAAATCAGTGGAAGATTTCATTATTTTTTCCCCATTCACATCAGTAAGGATGCCGTGGTTACACACTGAATGCTGATCCTCGCATTATAGGAACGATCCATTCCAAGGCAAACACTTTTAAATCCTATTTATTTCAATGAGAAATACTGGAATCAATGCAATATAAGGGCTTAATTTAGTTTAACCGTGCCCCGTATTTTATGTGCAGGCTAAAAAACCCTAATGCATTCACAAAACACACACAGGTGTCACACACAGAATTGACTGAGATTCTCACTCAAGTATATGCTTCCTGGCAATCCCAGGTTGGCTGCTGCATCAGTAGCCAACTTAATTTTAACTCCCAGGTCTAAATCTAATAAATTGATCCACCGCACACACACACTGGAGCAGGGTTTTGTCTGAGAAGCAAATCATTTTCAATTTAACTTCAGCTAAATAAAAAAGTCATTTTTTTGCTCTGAAAAAATCATTATGCCTAATTATATGCCACAGATCAGTCCTGTTGCAATGTTTATTTAGAACAAATGCCAGAGAGTTCAGAAGAGTGCATAAAATGTTGCCTGACCTATTCTAGGAATGCACCACTGGGGAGTGTTTGAGCTTTGTTATGGATTCTATTTAAGATACCTTAATCTCTGGCAAGGCCTGTACGGGGCAAATTCAGTCTGATTGTTGTACCATCATTGATCTGAAGAGGCTACAAAAGTCTAAGAATAAAGGGGTCAGCATTTTCCCAGTATATTTTTTCAGGGACAGAAATAAAGATTATTTTATTCACAAAGGGACATTCCGTGATTGTGCACTTCTAAGCTAAAGGCCAAACTGGATGTGATGCAGGCAACGCTTGAAGATTTCGGCAACATTTTAAGCTACCTCCATGTTACTGTAGGGAGGGCAAGCAGGACTGAAGAATCCTTTCTCCATGGGCTCTTTCGCCAATCAGTATCTTCCAACCTGCTTTCCTACCCGACTACAAGCTGGGGCCCAGGACTTACCTGGATCCTGTTTGTGGCACCACGGGAAGAGGGAGAGCAAGGGTGGCCATTCTGGCATTTGTTGGGCAGAGGGGGTGGGCCAGCAGTGAGAGGGGGAAGCTGGGGCCCACCCAACCTGACGCCAGCCCTATCAGTGGAGTTCTGGATGTCTGGGGGTGGGGGTGCCCGGTCCACTACTTAGGGGGCCCTTCCACTCCCGCCTGCCATCTTTTTGGTGTCAGGCAATTTGGCCCACCCTTCCAGCCCCTTATTTAGGTGTAGTTTGATTGGTTTGCATGTGGTTTGTTCCATTTATTTTCTTCTTTGTCACAACTTGGTGGTCTCAGCATGGGGGCCGGATCCATTATCTGGAAAGTCGGCCTGTATGCCCATTTTCCTGAGTCTGAGGATCTCCTTAAGGGATCTTGGTGTGAGGGTCAAGTGGTATGCCCAGCCCGTGGGCATGACTGGGGGTTACCCTCATGCTCAGGTGGCAGGGGAGACCACCTTGGGGCATCCGTCCTTGTGGGATCCAATGACCTGTTATCCCAAGATTTTCAGCGGATCATTGACTGGCAGACTGGTCAGTCGATGAGCATGATCCGGTACCCCATGCTGTGCCAAAGCATACTACAGCTGTAACCAATAAAATTGTGGCCAATTTTATTCCACTTTTCTGAAAACTATGTGTGAGTGTTTGTTATTTCAGCTTAAGTTGCAAAGAGTTTGTATCTAGTGGGTACAGAGGAACTCTTGGCCTGTGGCCCCCTCCTCGCCCCATCCCGTTGGCACGGGGAAGAGATATCCTGGGTCCACATGCCTTTTCCTTAGCCGGAAGGAAGGCAGCTGGGAGGAGGGGCTTTAACAGACCAATGATTAACTCAGCTATTATCATAATTAAATGTTGCAATCAGAGTCAAAAATTGTTTAATGGAGGCCGATTCACTAGTATGGACATCTTTGGGGATGTTATCATATCTACCAACATTTCACAAATGAGAATAGGGGCACTCTTGTCAAATCAACAATTCTTACTTTCCACCCCATGTGCTCAAATGCTCAGCTATAACTCCTAAATGCCATTTTCTTCCTACTCTTCAATAGCCTTCCTTGTGCTGGTTTATTAGCTAAGAGAATGACATCTCTAGTGCACATGTGCACACAATTATAAAATGTTAAGAATGCATCCTCCAACAGTACAATCCTAAACAGACTAGTACCCTTCTAAATCCACTTAAACTAATAGGCTTATAGGGGTGTAACTCTGCTCAGGATTGCACTGCAAATCTCTCCACAATGCAAATCAGTGACAATGATTTATTGGGGGAGGGAGTGGAGAGAAAGATTGCTGGGCTCTGGTACATGTGGACCGCCTAGAAAAGTTAGACATTTGGGGATCACAGCACACTTCTCATGGGCACACATGCCACAGTCAAATTGTGGGCAACAGCCAGCCTGGTGTTGTGGTACAGTGTATTGGACTAGAATCTGGGAGAGCCAGGTTTGAATCCCCACCCTTTGGCACAAAAAAGATGTTGGTGGGTTTGAAAAATTTTCTCTACCAGAAAAAATATACATTTTGAGCCCTCGCTCTGCCATGGAAGCTCACTGGGTGACCTTGGGGTGGTCACATACTCTCAGCCTAACCTGCCTTACAAGGTAGCCATTGCAAGGATAAAATAGGAGAGGAGAGAATCCTGTTGTGAGCCACTTTGGGTCAAAAGTAAGGTATAACTAACTAACAGAATAAATGGCATTTGTGGTAAATAGGGATGCCAGCCTCCAGGTGGGACCTTGCGATCCCCCAGAATTACAGTGCCTCTCCAGGCTACAAAAATCAGTTCCCTGGAGAAAATGGATGCTTTAAGAACATAAGAACATAAGAGATGCCAATGTTGGATCAGGTCAAAGGCCCATCCAGTCCAACCCTCTGTATCACACAGTGGCCAGAAATACCAGTGCCATCAGGAGGTCCACCAGTGGGGGCAGGACATTAGAAGCCCTCCCACTGTTGACCCCCCCAAGCACCAAGATGACAGAGCATCACTTGCCCCAAAGCCCCTATCTATACCTTGTGGAGGGTGGACTCTATGGCATTGTACCCCACTGAGGTCCGTGTCCTTCCCAGGGTGCATTTCCAAATCTCCAGGAGTTTCCCAACCTGGCTCTGGCAACCCTGACCACCACCCCCTCATTCCCTGCTGGTGGCCAAGGGGGGCCTGGCAATCCCATATGAGAAGCAAAGACAAAATGGGTTCATTTCCTATAAATACGACACAGATGCAAAGAACTGGGCCTGAGGGCCCCTCCTTTTCTGAATGTTCAGAAAAGGTAAAATGGTGCAGGAGAATGTCCAGGGGTCGTTTTGTAGAAAAAGAGCTAGGGGAACTCATTAGCATAACTCATTACCATCACCGGCCTTGCAGCTCCATGAGGGGCCCGGCGGTGGACCTCCAAGGCCGGCGGGAGTGCTAGGAAGCCCCGCGAAGGCCCTCCCTGGCCCCAGGCAGGCAGGGGTGGGGAGAGGCAGGGAGGAAGCAACTTACCCTCCCTCTTCTCCTGCCTCCTCCTGGCTGAATGAGGGCCGGAAGCGGGGCGGCCGGAAGCAGGGGGCGGGGCTTCGTCATGTGCCCCCCCATACCTCACCCGGGGGAACTGCGATCCCCCGCGATCTCCCCCGAAATGATCTCTGAATGTACCCAAACCCTTACATGTCAGGAGACAGCCCTATGTCTGTTATTCAGTAATCCTAAATGGGTCTACTCAGAAGTAATCGCCAAGTATGGATTGGAGTCCTACTCCCTTCAGTAACCTTAGGACAGTGAAATAATTGTGACAGCTGATATAATCATAAGTCATAAATTCATCAATCGATGTTTGTTAAAGCGGCTTTACCTGCAAAAAGATACCTCCTGTTCGAAAGGTGAGTTCTCTGGCTGGGTTCCAGCCTTGAAATGGCTGACGTTGAAGTATGACAGCGTGTGATTGATGAAGCCATGCATGGTCCCATTGTTACTGTATGCATACTGATAAACAAGGCGTGGAATGAAGTCAGAAGTGACAGAAATGACAAAGGCCTGGGAGAAAAAGAAAATCTTTACCATGTGAGCCCTGCAAATATCTGCAGCATGCTTTCAAGTCACTTTACTGATGAAGAGGAGGGCGATCAGAAAGCTCTACAGATGCCTCCCAACCAAAAAGCTGCTTTGTGGCTGGAAGACAGAGTGAAGCGGTCAGGCTTCTGGGCACCGTTTCATCTCCTGAGCAGTTTAGGAGGAAATTCTGCCAGAAATGACCCCTCCACCAGACATATGGGATTGACCCAGGGATCTGGCTGCTTAGAGAGCCAGTTTGGTATAGTGGTTAAGTACACTGACTCTGATCTGGGAGAACTGGGTTTGATTCCCTACTCCTCCACACACAGCTGCTGGATGACGTTGGGCAAGAGCTGTCCTTGAAAGAGCTGTCCTTGAAAGGGCAGTTCTCGAAAGAGCTCTCTCAGCCCCACCTACCTCACAGGGTGTCTGTTGTGGGGAGGAGAAGGGAAAGGAGTTTGTAAGCCACTCTGAGACTCCGAGTGAAGGGTGGGGTATAAATCCAATCTCTTCTTCTTCTCTTCTAGATGTCATTTGGTAGCTGCCTAAGGATTCTGGTGGCTTTGGTGGTCATTTCCCAGGGGTTTTGTAGAGTAGTGTTGGCTTTTCTGTATTATGGATCCTGTATGGATTTTTATTGTCTCCAGGTTTTTTTTATTTCTAAGGGTGACAATTTTAAAAAGATAAGAAGAAGCACCCTGCTGGATCAGACCATTGTCCATCTAGTTGAGCATCCTGTCTCACACAGTGGCCAACCAGTTCCTCTGGAGGGCCAACAACAGGGCATAGAGACAAGGCCAACCCCTGATATTGCCTCCTGGCCCTGAGATTCAGAGGTTTAGTGCCTCTGAACATGGAGGCTCCGTTCAGTCACCATGGTTAGTAGTTGGTGATAGACCTCTCCTCCATGAATCTACCTAATCCCCTTTTAAAGGCTGTTTATTCCTGTGGCCATCATGACATTCTCTGGCAGCGAATGCCACATTTGTGTAAGTAGTGTACAGTAGAATTCCCTTCTGTCTGTCCTGAACCTACTTCCCATCAGCTTCATTGGATGCCCTCACTTTCTCATATTTTGGGAGAGGGAGAAAAATTTCCCTTTGTCAACTCTCTCCACCCCATGTATAATTTTATAGAGAAGAAGAAGAAGAAGAAGAAGAAGAAGAAGAAGAAGAAGAGATTGGATTTATGCCCCACCCTTCACTACCCAAAGGTGTCTCAGAGTGGCTTACAAACTCCTTTCCCTTCCCCTCCCCACAACAGACACCCTGTGAGGGAGGCGGGCTGAGAGAGCTCTTGACAGAGACTGCTCTTTTTTCAAGGACAGCTCTTATCAGAACTACGGCTTGCCCAAGGTCATCCAGCCAGGTGTAAGTGGAGGAGTGGGGAATCAAACCCGGTTTTCCCAGATTAGAGCCCACGCACTTAACCACCACACCAAACTGGCTCTCTATCATGTCCGCCCTTAGCCATTTCTTTTCTAAACTGAAGAGTCCCAGACTCTTCAGCCTTTCCTCATCAGGAAGGTGCTCCAACCCCATCATCATCTTGGTTGCCCTCCTCTGTACTTTTTCCAGTTCTGTGATATCCTTTTTGAGATACAGTGACCAGAACTGTACACAGTATTCCAATAAAGGCCACACCATAGATCTATACAGGGGCATTACAATATCAGCTGTTTTATTCCCCACCCCTTTCCTAATAATTCCTAACATAGAGTTTGCCTTTTTCACTGCTGCAGCACACTGACTGATTGAGCAACGAAGCAGATAGGGATGATGGAATGAAGAATGAACCTTGGGGCCACCAAACTGAGTTGCAATCAAACATAGTCGCCTGGCATTAAGTGTCACTGATTTCAAATGGAGCTCACTATGGATGTCCTGGCTCACACTCACCTAGAGTTGCCCAACCTCTAGGTGGTGGCTGGAGATCTCCTGGGATTACAGCTCCTCTCCAGACAACAGAGATCAGTTCACCTGGAGAAAATGGCTGTTGTGGAAGGTGTACTGTATAGCACTATACCCAAACCCCACCCTCTTCAGGCTCCACTCCCAAAATCTCCAGGTATTTCCCAACCCAAAGCTGGTTTGGTGTAGTGGTTAGGAGAGAGGACTCTATTCCGGGAGAATCGGGTTTGATTCCCCACTCCTCCACTTGCACCTGCTGATGTGACCTTGGGTCAGTCACAAGCTCTGGTACAGCTGTTCTTGAAAAATAGCAGTTTGTGCCAGAGTTCTCTCAGCCCCACCCACCTCACAGGGTGTCTGTTGTAAGGAGGGGAAGGGAAGGGAGTTTGTAAACTGCTCTGAGACTCCAAGTGAAGGGCGGGGTATAAATCCAATCTCTTCTTCTTCTTCTTCTTCTTCTAAACCTACATCCGCCATGTGCAAGGGCACTCACTGGGTGCGTTCAGATGGGGCATTTACAACGATATAGGTGCCGGTTGGAATCGGTGTACGTATGGCATTCACACATAGAACATCTGCCTTCCATCCCTGACCTGTCAGCAAGCTGCCAATGTTTATTTTCATTTCCTACGTGTGTGCGTGCACTTGCTTTTATTTTCATAGACGTGCAGATGCGCATGGCTATGTAGCTCGCTGTAACAATTATATCTCCTCAAGGCCACAGGTGGAAGCAAGCTTGTTAGTGCTGGGAAGCTCTCATGAATCACCGTGAGAAGAAGATAACATGAGAGGCTAGAAACCATTAGTTCTCATGCCCAAAGGCGCGAGCGGGAAAGCCCTGCAAGTCCCGCAATTGGGTAGTAGTGGTTTGAATGTTTGATTATATGTCTTGCCCTTGCTTGTGTTCTCCATTCTGAACAGTGACCCTGTTATGCACCTTCAGCTCTAATGAAGTTACCTTTTCTTCAAAAGCATGCTTATTATGATGCCAGGAGGAGTCTGACATTCTGTTCAGAATCCCATCTTTCTCTATCTCAGCGAATCTATCGATATCGATATGAGTGACGGAGAGGAGAAACTCAAACCGGACGAGAAGGACCCGGCAGGTCCAGATCTGGGAAATGTCCCAGTAACCACGACGGAAGTACCGGTGACCGTGGCAGAGGTGCCAGTGACAACGGTGTTGGGAGGGGGAGCGGTCCCTAAAAGATGCACGGCGTCTATGTTCCTGACACCCTGAGGGCCGAAATACCGGCATGATGAACGCTCTAGCCAGAGTTGGAGTCAGTTTGATGCGGATACCACCCAAGAGTCGTATTCGCACATGGGATTATCCCTCCGGGACAGTTTGTATGATAAAGGACTGGGGGCTCAAGGATTACCTCCTTTGGGAGCCCACTTCGAATCCGTGCCACCCCCTTGGGTGATGGATAGATCGAAAGCCTGGAGCGGCCAAGCATCCCCTGAAGAGGGGCTGCTGGATCGTATCGAAACAACTGACCAAAATGTATGGCAACTACAGCAGACGCTGGAGGAGATGCTCCTCGCCATCCCGGAATTGGTGACCCAAACCATTGGAGAAGCGCTCGACCGGATGCGCCCGGGGGATGGGGTTCCGGGGGAACAACAGCTGGCGGTGCCGGTGGGTCCAAGCCCACAAGTACCGCCAGGGCCGCTGGGGCTACCTGGGCAACAACTGCAGGTCCCCGCCCCAGCTCCGAGGCCTCCCGACATTCCCGCCCCGGCTCCACGCCCGGGCAGCCCTCGAGGACAAGCGCTTCCACGGCCAAAGGATCTGATAGAAGCTACATTTGATGGCAACCCCGAGGAACTGTCCTACTTTGTGGTACGTGTACAGAAATTCCTGGAACGATCGGGCCATCTATTCCCAGATGACAACAGTCGGATCGACGTGGTGACCGCGAGGCTCTAAGGGGCTGCAGCCGCCTGGTACGTGGGTCTTCACAATGCCCGAGGCTCTGAACTGACGGACATGTATGCATTCATGTGGGCACTGAGGCATCAGTATGAAGACCGGAACGCTGGGCCAAGAGCACGAGCCTACTTGTGCACTTTGAAACAAGGGAGAAGAACGGTGCGCGAATACTCGGCCGAATTTAAACTGCATGCAGTGAAATTGCCCAATTGACCGGATAACATGTTAGTGGAAATGTATTGGGTGGGCCTGAATGCTGAGGTTTGAGAGACGGTCCTGAGGTTGGTGGATCCGGTCTCCCTGATGGCTTGGATGCAAGAAGCCAAAAGTGCGGAGAATCACTTGCAAACCCTGAGACTGGACATCGCAGCAGCCGGAGGCAAACCAACCCCAGGCCCTGCGAGGGCCAAGCCGGCACGCCAACCTGATGCCCTGCAGGAGCAAAGAATGCACTAAGGCTTGTGTCTCAAATGCGGGGAGAGAGGACACTTCACAACAAACTGTGGGCAGGCGGAACGAAAAGAAAAACCCGATCCAGCGAAAAGTCGCCCGGCCACCCCATTCAAGAAAGCCACGGGGAAGCCGAAATTCGCCAAGGCTCTGAGAGCATCGCTGGAGGAAGGTGAGGAGGGATCGAGTGACGAAGACCAGGAACCGGCGGGAAACGACTTGGTCCTGCCGTAAATGGCACAGACCGGCATGACCCCACCAGCGAGGCGCCGCAAGTGGTGAGCGAACCCCCCTCTCTCTTCTTTGTGACTGTCTCCATGTTGAACCCAACCCTGGGAACACATGTCAGGGTGAAGGCCCTCATTGATTCAGGGTGTGGGAGAGACTTAATCAGCCCATCCGTAGTAGCGGGGTTGGAAATTGGGGTGGTGAAGCTAAAAGACCCCATCATCTTCACCCAGATGGACGGGTCGCCCATGAAAGAGCCATGCATCTACGAGACTGTACCATTATTGATGGGGGCAGGTGACCACTGGGAATCCAGATCATTTGTGGTCACCCCAGCAGCATGCTTCCCAGTAGTACTGGGAGCCCCTTGGCTATACGGGCATGACCCTTACATACTGTGGGAGGAGGGGAGGGTGCAATTCATCTCACTCAGATGTAAGTCACACTGTTGGGACGAT